TATTAGGACAGCTGTAATAGCATAATCAATAAAATATTAAAAAATAAAAATAAAGAGCCTCCCCTAAGACTTGTTAGAACTGACAGAATGTAAACCTGGAGGCCACTTCTGTCCCCTTATGGGAGAAGAGATGGAATTAACACACGGGAAAAAATAGTGGCCTGGAACCAGTAATATCTAAACTCAGGCATCTGTGGAACTTTCCAGATAAGGGAGCTAATCAGTCCTCCCTTCTTTGGGCCACTGTGCATTGGATTTCTGCCCCCTTCAAACAAAAGATCATTCACTAATAACTTCAGGATAAACTAGACATTTCTCTGACAGTAAGATTTCATACTTGAAATTTCAGAAATGTCAAAACAAAAGCCACCTGTGTTTTATCCTAACATCTGCACCCCCTCTACCCCCAGCTGACTGCCACTCTCTGGCACCTCACCTGGAATCCTCGGTTTCCACCCACTGGTACATCTCCACTTGCCGCCGCAGCTTCACAGCTGGAATGTGGACCCCATAGTTTGGGTCAGACAAGAGCTTCAAAAAGAATCAAACAAACCAAAACCAAATAAATAAAGAACAAGACTCACACCAGCACAGAATGCCCAACTCAGGGGAAGCTGGACTAGAAAAGAAACAGGTACAGAGGATAGGGGCAGGATGGAGAATGCTACGGCTACTTCATGTGGGAGAATCAGGAGAAGCTGCTTATCCCAAGTTCTGAATACCCAATGCCTGTGACATGTGCCTCCCAGGGCAGGCTCAAGCTGCAAGGCCCAGTGGCACGGTGGCATTGGTGCTCAGTGCCACATTTAGTGCTCAGACAGGAAAGGTTGAATAACCAGAGTACCTTTGTACCCTTGAACTAGACCACATGCTAATCATAATCATTAATGCACCTATTTGTAAAGCTCACACCACATGCCAGGCATGAGGCCAGGATTTCAGCTACTTAATCCCACCAAATCTTCAAAACTGGCCCCCTAATTTGTTACAATTATTCTCCCCATGAAGACTTGAGATTTACGAGTTACAGGTCCACACAACTTCTGAGTGGTGGAGACGGTAATCACAGCCCTGTGTGTCCATCTCCTAGGTCCATGTTTTCAAAATTCTCAACCAAACAAAATCTAGTGATGTGCTTCGAGCCTCCAGCGGGTCAGCGACCATCGCCAAACACACCTTGGATGTCCGCAGGGCCCCAATGATGTGCACCAGCTTCCCCTCGTTCTCAGGAGCCACAGTGTGGATGCTGTCGGGGGACACCACGAGTGAGAGCCCTTCCGCCAGGGAGGTTGCCGTCTTCAATGCGCGGCCCTGTGAGCAAAGGGCAGTGAGGATTTCAGTAAGTCAGGTACAGCCTGACACAGTGTCTCAGGGCAGAATGGGCCTCAGAGAGCACTGAGACCACTCTTCCCATTTTACGGTTGGAAAACTGAAGTCTAGCAAGTGGCAGAGTTATGACTGGAACCCAAGATTCCTGCTTTCCCAGGCAAACCTCCCCCCACCACCCCACTGCCTCCACACTGGACTGGCTGATGTTTTGTCTGCCCGGTATCCCCTCCCCAATTTTCCTCTGTCTTCTCCTCCCCTCCCCTACTCTCAGTCCATGTGATTTATATGGGCCAATCAGTACTTTGGTCCAAAGCATATGACCCAGGCCTAGCCAATCAGTACATGTGTTCAGTGGCCACGGGGACTGGTTGAGAGGACTGAGACCCAAACCAGGACTCAGATCTCCCTGCAATTGTTGTTAAATTCATTTAGAAGGAGATGGTTCCTTTGTTCTCTGTGGTTGCTAAGCTGATTGGATATGATCCTGAAATTCCTTAACCAACAAAAAGAGTCTGCCAAAGGAAAACCCACAACAGAGAAACACAGGCAAGAGATGGAAAAATGGAGATTTCTGGTGACCCAACATGAATGCGTGGATCCAACTATACCTGAAGTTGGTGTTACCCCCAGAATTTCAGGTGTGTTAACCTATCCACTCACTTCCCATTATTTCACATAGTTATATGTGTATGTGGGGGGCGGGGGAGGAGTCACAACAGAAAGATTTCTGATTAATTCAGCATATCCCCCTCTCTTTTGTAAAATCTATGCCCTTATTATTCAATCCAGCCTCTGGATTCAATAGCCTTTGCTCCCTGGCGCTACAGGGACCCTCATTCTGCACAGTGGGACCCTAAACATTTTACCTCATTGGTAAAAATTAAGTAGAAGGCAAGCAGGAAGGTCATGAGCCCCACAACCATTCCACCCGAGGTCTCGCTCAGCCGCTGTAGGAAGCCTGGCTGGGGGTCAGTCGTAATTTTGACATGTTCTCTTCTGTTACTTGTATTAGAATACTGAAGGAAAAAAAAAAGAAAATTAGTTTCTTTAAATAAATTAAATTTCACTATTTATATTGTTTTCGTTTTAATTATATGTGGTAAAAACACACAGATGTTAAGTGTGCAGTTTGATGGATTGTGACAAATGTAGATCCCGCCTGACCAGCATCCTGACCAAAGCACAGAACATGTCCATCACCCAGAACTTTCGGTTCCCCTTTCCTGCCAACACACCCCTCTCCACCTCCCAGAGTTAACAGCTGTATCAGTACAATGGGTAGTAGCAGGACACACCCAGTCCACATTCTGAACCAAATTCCCACCCAATAAACAGGATGACGGAGACTCCCTCTGCCCGTTCCCCACTACCCACCCTTACACCTCCCCCAGCCGGAGGGGCACCCTCCTGAACCTTTCTTCCTTCCCTTCAAGGCCATCTTGATGTTGGCTACATAATGTGTGTTGAATACCTTTATGTGTCCTCAGTGACACATACCCTCCCAGTCCCAGCACTCTGGGCTCAAAAGTAGTAAGAGGTGGGAACAGAGGTCAACCCATAGGCCTGAAAATCACTTGCTGTGAAACCCTGGGTAGTTAGTTGCTCTACCTCCCTGATCCTGTTTACTCACTTATAAAATGAAGACAGTAAGCTGTGCCTGTGACAAGACAGTGATTACACTGATTAAGAATTCTGTCACCTCCCTGCTCCCCTACCACCAGGGCTGGGCGGCTCCTCCCCTAAACACACACCCAGCTACTAGATGAATCAACAAAGACTTGGCAACAGAGGATACCCAGATTCAATTGCATTCCTTGGCAAAATCAGGTCCCAACATCCTAAGATGGTCTCTGCCCACCAGATGGACCATCCATGTTAGAGTGTGAAGATGTTTTTCATGTATTAAGTACCCACTACACATCAGGTACTATTGAGAGCACAATTTCCCTTAAACTTCCCATCCCTCTAGAGATTAGAGCCATACAACTACAAAGAGGAAGTGGATTTGCCCCCAGGTCTGCCTGACTCCCACGACGACGTAACCTGCCAACCTGGCTGCAAGACCTGGGCAAGTGCCTTCTTCTGCTAGGGAAATACCCCATCTGTAAAACAGGGTGGTGGTGTGGAGGGCAGACAGGAGTTCACCTTTGGGAGCAAGCCAGTCTCTCCTGACTACCCTCTCCCCTGGCAGATCCTGGGTCTCATGGACCACCTCTGAGGCTTTTTTCTAGGTGCAGCAGTCAAGGCTTTCAGCCCTCCAACACAACTCTAACCTGGGGCAGAGTGCACTAGGGCTGTGGGTGACACAAACTCTGACTTTTGAAGGGTGTGGGAGGCAGAGGGGACCCTCAGAACAGAGAAGGGGCCTGGAAAGAGGGTTTAACAAGACAGGAGAGAGTGGGTAGGGCACTCCACCAAAGCGGGAGGGAGGGAGGGAGGGAGTGTCTGGAGCTGGCAGGGCTCCCCAGCTGGCTCCAGAAGCACTTTCATACAGGAGGGGAGTGGTGAGTCACTGGCTTCTCCCATATACAGCACCCTGGTGAAAAGGACTACTCGGTTTGCTAAATGAATGTTGGGCTTAAGTTGAAAGATTCCTGAGAAAGGCTAGCTTCAGGGACAAGAAGCCAGCAGCCTTTTGAAAGAAATCACCTTCAGTCAGGATCTCTCTAACCGAAACCACGCTAGGAGGACAAGAAGTCCAGTAGTAGGTAAATGCTTACAGACATCCTAACTCTTCTGCTCCCAAACAAACCTGAGCCCCTTACATACACACCTAGGGCGGGGAGTTCACTGACTGCCCGGAAAGCCCTGTCTGTCCCAGGCTGGACAGCTCCACCTGGGCGGTATCGGCTTCCCCCAACTCCCGCGGACTGGGCCCCTCTCTGAGGTTATGTCCAGCTCCTCAAATTTTAAAACTCCAAGGGCCTAGGCGGTAACTGGGAATGAACGGAAGGGCTGCTGAGAGGTGCCGAGCACAAGTAGATCCCATGTCCGGAGCAACACCTCCTGAGTCTCCCTCTCCACAAATTAGCGACCCGAGGAACAGGTGGACCAAGGAATACGGACAAAAGGAGTCTGGACAGGCTAAAACAAATTAACAGATTAGCTGCTAGAAGGCATAGACACAGCATGCAGAGGGAAGCGGGGGGGGGGGGCGGGGGGCAGCCGCACCGACGTGGGTCTGACCAGCAAAATAGACCTAGGAAGCTCCGAGGGGAAAAGGAGGGCCCGAGATTTGGGGAAGCCTGGGTGTGGCCCGCCAGACCAGGAGACACTCACATTCGCGGCCATGGTGAGACCCCGCTGGCCGGCCCGGCCCGTCTTGCTCTACTTAGGGACGAAAGGAGTTTACGGCCAGAGTGCGGAGAGCAGGGCCCTCTAGACTGTCCGAGTTGCGAAAACCGCGCGTTGCCCAAAACCACAGGCGTTGTGCGGCGACGTTAACTCCCCCGTGGTCTCCAGCTGCTCAGCTCAACCGTGCCGCAAGGTCTTCTGGAAAATGTAGTACATGGTTAGGTGCTTTCTCCAATAAATTGCAAAAAAAAATCCGGTGTATGTAACTGATGCGCCTGCGCATTGCAAGACTTTCTGGGAAGCGTAGTCTTCCTGAAGACTACGAGCGGCTAATGAGCGGCTGGGCGGAGCGCAGCCCGTTGGGAAATGTAGTTCTTTGCTGAGGGGGTCCCTAGGCTGGAAGTGGGAAGGCGCTGAGGCAGGCGCGCGGCGGACAGGCCTGGAGGGGGCGGGTTCGCGCGCGCCTCGGAGCCTTCCGCCCTGCCAGAGGAGAGGTCACGGCGTGGAGCCGCCGCTGCCACCGCTACCACAGTGAAGTGTGAGCCCTGGGCTGCGGTCATGTCCTACTGCCGGCAAGAAGGTAGGGAAGGTGAGCTGCCATGGAGACCGGCCTACACGGGCCTCTCTGGGGTCTCTGCTGCCCCGCAGGCTCCGGCAGTCAGGGGCCCCACTGCAAGTGTGGGCAAACCGAGGCAGCCCGGGGTACCTTCTCTGGGACCTTTGGAACCGGCTAGGCGGCGGGTTGCCACCCCCGTTTTGCAGATGAGAAAACTGAGACTGAGAGAGATGAGGCTGGTCTAAGGTCATGGTGAGGCGCGAACCCGAACCTCAGAGGGACCAGCTCATGGTAGAGTTTATGAACTAGACCGGAGCCGGTAAGGGAAGTGCTGAGCACGTTTCCTCTAGCTCGCAATTTGGAATTTATTGACACTAATTATTACCGTCGCTCTTCCCACACACCACGTGTTACGATTTGCACGCGCCTTGTAACTCCTGAAAGGTTGCCACTCGGGTTAGGTGTTGTGCTAGAGCGGTACAAATACCAACAAAAAGAACATTTATTGAGTCCCAGCTACCTCTATGAGGCACTCTTCAAGGAGCTTTACAGGGCTTATCATTGATCTCATAGAGACCTTTGTAAGTCAGGCCCCGCTTAAGACCCAGAGTGACTTGGCTAAAGCCACGCGATCGGGTAAGTCGTGGAGCTGGGGTTTGAGCCTTAGCAGTCTGGTTCCAGAACTGCACTATCCAGTCTGGCGCCCAGTGGATTCCAGGGAGCAGTCCTCTTTGGGAAGACCCCACCCCCGCCCCCCCACCCCACAGACACACACAAAGTTGGGCTCGGTTAGTTCAGAAGTTTCCAGGACTCAGTTTCCAAACTTGTAAAATGAGAAGTTAAAAGTAGTTGGTCTTAATTCATTCAGCAGATATTCTTGAAGAACTTTCTGTGTTCCAGGTAACAGGGATAGTGGACCCCTGAGAAGCTACCTGAGAAATTCTTGGCTGAATAGCCCAGCTCCCTGAATTTAATTCAGGGCAATCTGAAGCCCAGAGAAGATGACCAACCCAAGGTCATACATCAAGTTAGGGAAACAACTTAGTCTAAAATGCTAAGCTTTTTCCTCCACCCAACCTTGATTTCAAGATTTCCTCTTTCTTTCCTGGGTCATAAATCCACCATACTTAATTAGTTGCTAATGAGTACTGTTTATGTTGATTAATACTTAATTGTGCTGTGGACAAAAGTCTTCTGCCCTCTCCATTTTGTCAGTCTCTTGTTTTTAATTTTCTTTCTCTGAGTCTCTAATTTACTTTGTCATTTAGCAAGTAAATTTGAGCCTTTGGGGTATAATGAGGCTGTGCAGATAAATAAGACTCCCTCCTTGCCCTCGGGGATTTCTAGGTGCCGCAAGTTCTCTGGGAAGGAGAGGCAGGCCCTGTCTTCCACCAAAGCATGGATCTTTATCTTTTCCTGGTTCAAAGATCTTTCTCAGTTTAAGGATGAGATTGAAAGCGCTCACTTTCAGACCTTCCCTAGTTTTCATCTTATCCATACCTTCTGTCCCCTAAGTTCCCAACTTTTTGTTTTTCTACCCACTTTTTTTTTATGTTTCTCATGGGACTTAGAAAAATTATCACAAACCCCTTGTCATGTAAGGAAGGGCTTATATAATAACCCAGCTCCTGCTGGATCTGGCTCCAGCCTGATCTCTAACCAGTCTGTCGTTGCTCAGCCACACTGGACTTTCGGCTCTTCCCTTTGCCTGGTGCATCCTTCAGCTTTGCCCACTGCTGGCCCCTCATCCGTGAAGGTTCAGCTCACATGTCACCTCAGAGAGGTCTTCCTCTCCTTTGATGTCTTTCATATCCTAAATTTTCTGGCATTGCCTTGTTTATTTTTTTTTTAAGTTTTATTGATTTGAGAGAAAGCAAGAGAAATATCAAATCTGTTGTTCCACTTGTTTATGCATTCATTTGTTGCTTCTGTTTTTTTAACTTGCTATTTGTAGTTATCAGAATATGGTGTTCATTGGACTTGGGAGATAAAAGTATTTCAAACATTTTCAAGTTTAAGATAGAAATCTTAGTAAAATTTTAAAAATCATGATACATGCTTTGCCTCATTCCTAATTCTATTGTTCCTTCACATTGGTTGCTTCTTGTATGAGCCCTGACTGGAGATCAAACCCACAGCCTTGGGGTATCAGGATGATGCTGTAACCAACTGAGCTACCCGACCAAGGCCACCTGGTTTATTTTTGTCATCATATTTCTTGTCTGTCTTCTCCCGCTGAACTAAGAGAACTAGATGAGCCATATACCCAGGATCTAGCCTAAAGCCTGGTCTAATGTACACTCAAATCTTTGTCAACTGAACTCACACACATACCTGAACTCTGTTCTGCTTGAATGTTTGCCTGTGCAAATTTAGCTCAGGGGTCCACCCACCACCCAGCCTCAGGCTAAAGGCCTTAACTCGGCATTCAAGGCATTCCACAGCAGGGCTCAGCCTTGCTCCCTGGTGTTGGGCTACCCACACTTTCCTGTGTCAGCGTTTCATTGTTGTGCCTTTAGTTTCCTCCTTTTCCGATGCTGAGCCTGCTCTCTCCTATTCAGTCAACAAACATTTATTGAGCACCTCTGACATGCCATCCACCACGCATATTATTAGTGAGCATAGGCGACAAAGTCTGCCCTCGTGGCATGGTGGACACTCCTGGGTTGTATGAGCTCAGAGATTCTGAGGGGTAATGACCCCATGCACGTTCATGTTCCCCTTTCTGGGGAAAAAAATGAGACCACCCATCCAATAGCATTCTCTAACATGCTTAATGGTGATCATCATTCCATCTTCCTGCCCTTCTGCTGTATGTCCCAATCCAGAGTTGAGTTTCTCCACTCACTTGTCCAATAGATATTGATTACCCACTATGTTCTGGGCACTGTTCCGGGCTCTGGGGATACTGCAATGAATGAAAAAGGCAAACCCTTGTCCCTAAGGAGCTGACATTTCAGTGAGGGAGATGAGCGGTAAATAAATACATAATATGTTAGGTAAGAAGTGCTTTGGAGAAAAATAAAGCAGGGTGAGGGAGATGCCGAGTAGTCCAGGAAGGAGGCACCTGAGCAGGTGGTGTGGAGGCACCTGAGGGAGAGTGCTGCTGGCGGAGAGAGCAGCCTATGCAAAGGCCCGAAGGGAGGCATGTGCTCGGCATGTTCAAGTAGATGGAAGAAGGTGCTAGAACGGTGGGAGCAAATAGTGGAAGATAGGGTCCTGTGAGGGATGCAGATCCTTCTAGACGTATTTGAAGCTGGAGCCAACCTGATTTGAGGGTGACGGTGTGGGAGAAGAGGATGGCTGTACAGAGAATAAAACTTCAGAATTGGGGGTGTCCTGGTATCCTCCTCTGTCCTCAGCCCCACTCCAGAGTCTTTCCCAGAGGCCTCTGGGGCCTTGGATGCCCACTCTTAGCAGGGTCCTGGGTTGGGACAGATCTTCTAGTTGACGTTCCCCTCCTTGAGTGCTTTGGGCTCAGCATTCTCCATTCGTTATGTCAGAGGGCACTCTTCTGTCGGCCTTCCCCCTTCTATAACTTGATTGAGATCTTTAGCCTCTGGTTGTCTCTTCTTGGCCATTTTATCCTTGTCATTGGAGCTGTTTGAGCAGGATTTCAGGTCAGAGCAGAAATTTGTTTTACTTTCTTTGTTTACCATGGTAGGCAGGCTGAGCTGGTGGGGGACCTATTTTTCTGAGACCTGAAGAAGGTGCCTGATTACCCCACTAGCTGGCGTTCTTAGGACTAGTTCTTTCCTTCACAGTTAGGTCTTTTAAGAGTAGATGAGCATTGTCTTTCTAGTCACTTTTTTTTTAAGATTTAATTTATTTATTTTTAGAGAGGGAAGGGAGGGAGAGAGAGAGAGAAACATCAATGTGCAGTTGCTGGGGGTCATGGCCTGCAACCCTGGCCTGTACCCTGACTGGGAATTGAACCTGCGACACTTTGGTTCACAGCCCACGCTCAATCCACTGAGCTACGCCAGCCAGGGCTCTATTCACTTTTTTTTTATGTTTAAAAAATTTTTTTATTTGAGAAAGGGGAAAGGAGGGAGAAAGAGAGAAAGACATCAATGTGAGAAAGAAACATCAATCGGTTGCCTCTCATACACACCCCCAACCAGGGACTGAACCTGCAACCTAGGCACGTGCCCTGACCAGGAATCGAATCGGCGGCCTTTTGCTTTGGGGAACATTACCCAACCAACAGAGCCATAGCAGTCAGGGCCTTCTCTTCACTTTTAAATATTTCAGGAAGCAAAGGTGTGGGAATATGTATATTTCTTATTATAAATCACAATATCACATTGTCCATCAAGTATAACCTCTCTAAGAGGGATGTCCAGGAAGGTACTTGAGAAGACTCAGCTCTGGGAGGGACCTGGAGCATTCTCAGTGGGATTGTGCCAGGCTTGTGATTCCCACACCTGGCTGTGTATCACAGCTACCTGTGAAGCCAGTGAGCAGTGTGAACATGCCGGAGAGCTTGATTTAATTTTGGAGTGAGGCCAGGCCTTTGGGCCTCATCACTGGTCTGGCCTAACTGGGATTTTGGTAAACTCAACTGTCAGAGCTGAGCTGAGAACTTCCCTGTCGGCTTACTCTGCTTAGCATGCAGCATTTTTGCAGATTGCTTTCGAGTCCTCTGAAACTGACCAGGATCACCAAGGTCACTGGTTACTCGGACGTGCCCTGGCTGCCTGGCCCAAATCCTTGCCCAGGCCATGTGGGGAAAGCAGTCTTCCCTGAGGTAAAATGTGCTTCCTGGGGGCAGAGACCAGCTCTGGGCATGGAAACCTCAGATGCGCTGGAGGTCTGGTCCCTGTGCATGCTGACGGGCACCTGTCATTACCATCGCCCAGTGTGGAAAGGGCATGAAGCACCAAAGTGACTTCTCTCTGCCCCTTGACTGTCCTTTTCACTAGAGGCATCATTCTGGTTTTTGCTGTCACCCCCATGCTTTCCCCAAGCTGCTTCCTTCAATAAGGCAGCCCAAGCATGGGCCCAGCATTTTTCCCTTGGTTTCCATTAGC